GAAAATGCCAGCAAACAGAAGAAAAGCGGCATTTACGTTCTTTGCGCTTGCTTATTCATATTATAGTTAGCCCTTAAGGCCCAAACTTGTGTATTTACGATCTTTGGATTAACGTTCTTATCTCTTATCGCTAAAAAGGTTTGAAGTCTTCTGGCAACACAGTTAAAGTATCATCTGATTCATTTTGCGAATAGTTCATTTAGCCGGCGATTGAGATAATTTATGAATCTAATTAGATTTTTAAAGGTACAAGGTCAGTGCAAATCCTCTACAGAAATTTTATTTTTGCGTTTAACCACATTTCTGTTTACTTTTCAGTGTCCAAAATGTCTCTGAAATTGCTATCCAGTGTTAAATGTTTCGGTGGAGAGCAGCGTGTTTATTCTCACGCCTCGGAAGTGCTGGGCTGCGAAATGAAGTTTGGTGTCTACATGCCACCCACTGCCGTTGAAGATCATGACGAATGCCCGGTTTTATACTTCTTGAGTGGTCTTACTTGCACCCAAGATAACTTTATACAAAAGTCTGGCTTTCAGCAACATGCATCGAAACATGGCATTGTAGTTGTCAATCCTGACACATCTCCCCGTGGATTAAATGTTCCTGGTGAGGATGATCATTGGGATTTTGGCAGTGGTGCTGGTTTCTATGTCGACGCAACTGAGGCGCCGTGGTCTAAAAATTACAAGATGTACACATACGTGACACAAGAATTAGTGGAACTAGTGAACACCAACTTGCCGGTGCTGCCCAATAAACGTGGTATTTTTGGCCACAGCATGGGCGGCCATGGTGCATTGATATGTGCGTTAAAGAATCCTGGTATTTATCAATCTGTGTCTGCTTTCGCGCCCATCTCGAACCCCGTTCAATGCCCGTGGGGTAAGAAAGCATTCTCTGGCTATTTAGGTGCCAATGAGGAGTCATGGAAGGCGTGGGATGCGACCGAATTAGCAACAGTATATGCTGGTACACCATTAGAAATTCTAGTAGATCAAGGTTCAGAGGATAATTTTTATAAAGAGAAGCAATTGCTGCCAGAGAATCTTTTGAATGCCGGTGCTGAAAATAGACACTTGCAATTAGTTTATAAGCAACGCGAGGGTTACGACCACAGCTACTTTTTCATTGCCACGTTCATTGGAGAGCATTTTGATCATCACGCCAGATTCTTAAAAGCTTAGACGGAAGTAGCCTGCTAAGGAATATGTATATCTTCACGTAGTACATTCTACTTATTACATGGCTTTAAATAAAGCATTTATTGAAATATCTACGATGTGCGATTACGGCAAAATTGTTTATATGTAGAATGTTTGAATAAAAAGTTTTTTAAATTTTTATTTACATACATATGTTCATACCACATAATTTTTATAGATACGGATTAAAAAAACTTTTTGTTTATAAAAGTATTCCTTTGATAATTAAATTAGGATATCAACAAAGGTTATTGGATTACACGTATACATACCGTCGTTTAAAGTACAAAACCGCGTATCAAGAAAATGCATAGCCACGTACGTGAGGTTGCCAAGATTTTGTAGGAGAGAGTTAAGCTAGTCCTATTTGAAAACGGTTCACTCTTTTATCCCTAATTATCTGTTCTTATGTCTAAGTATCGATATTTAAGAGTATAAATGGATAAGAGTTTGATGCCAAGAGCTTCCGATGAGCAAATATCTTTTTTTTACACAAAAATCAGTTACGAGGTTTTGCAGACCGACGATACGCGGTTTTATACTTTAAACACGATATGTCTACATAAATAATTGTATTTTACGTTTTAATATTGAACTTATTTTACGATAACGAAAATGCATAATCATGTTCGCTATGCAAAGACTGAAAGTACATATAGCACTTCAAATCAAAAACAGTCACAACTCAAAAAATACCAAGTGTTCGGGAGAGGCAAAACACTGTTGATGCTGTGCAAGCGACGTAAGCAAAACGAAAACATTCTTAATAGTATATTTCCAGTTAAAGAAGATAGCGATAAAGAATTTCGAAAAATGTTAAGTTGTGACTGGTTCTGATTTAGGGTGCGATAATTACATATGCACAAACTTCTTATCGCGCATTCACTAAAAGACATTCACAATTCAAAAATAGGTTATTTTTAACCCATATAATCCCGTTTTTTTTTTTTTTAATTTTTTTTCGTATTCAGTTAACTTACATCAGTAGTCTAAAATACTACAGAAACCATATGCTTCCAGAATTTCCTCCACTTGTTTCATAGTTGTTGGCAAAATGACCGCCCAATAAAAATCACATCAAATTTACTGCACTTTTTGTGGCATTCTGTACATCTTATTTAAGTTGTACTGGATGTGATTATGTGACTTTGACCGTCTATACGAACCCCATCCCATCCCTTCTTCCTTTATTAGTAGGCTTTAATATGCGACCCAATGTTCATTGATTGGATTAGTTATCTTGAGTTGAAACGTGAAGTTAGCATATATTACAAGGGGTAGTTGGTAGACGTATGAAATCTCTTTCCGTCGGATCCGGAGCGATGTGCGTGCTATTTTAGCCGACAATTTACGTTGCATCCTCCGGCGGATAAAGCCAAACGTCGAGTGACCAGAAGGCTGCACAAACTGCCAACAACAAGTGCGCCTCTTGCTTCCACTTGCGGCGAAGTTCAGGTAGCCATCGGGAATGCGAAAGCCTCCAAAGCCATGGGATCCGACGGAATATGCTTGATTGAATGGTATCGCCTATTGAAACAGCCCGTTTGCTGGGCCTCGCGTTAGTTGATCTGGACGACCATGATTGAAGGTTGAACCGAAATAGGCGGGGCTTAGTAGTGCCGCTACAACAACAACAACAACAGTGGAATATGCATGTTGAAGCTGAAAAATCTGGTTCCTGCGGAAGTGGACCGGCCGGTTCAAAACTATGCGGAGCCGACCACGAACTTATTGCTAAGCATAATGTTGTCTTCTTTTACTGACAGTATCAGCATTTCACTATGAAAATAGTGCTCTGGCGACATCAGAACATATCCTCCCCTATCTGTCTGGATATCAGACTCAGATAATTTTCCATCCACCGTTTCAGTCCCTGATGGAGAGAAGAGGCATCTAAGTTTTCTAGTCGCATGGACGCACGGCGTCGAAAACCTTTGAGAGCTTCAACGCTTCTAGGACCGTTCACTCACAGGTGAGATTGCGGCTAAGGCCACGAATTATCAGGATGCTTATGGCGGTGATGTTCACTTCATGGACATCATGCTGATCCTTCGGACAAGGAGAGTTATCGGGCAATCAGACCCCTATATTGGTTAGTACTCCCGGCTTGAGTAGTAGAACCACTCTTTCTGACTTTCCCTAAAACAAAGGCTAGATTGCCGAAACAGCAGCCCTTAGCCGGGTAAAATATGCTCGTTTGTTATCTGGTTTTTTAATCTGGAGATAACGAAGCAGATTGGAATATTCCCTTATGCTGTAGCCTGATGCCTCAGACTAATATGTCNACTGACCTCTGACCTCTTAACCCTTCTGCAATGGTTGGGTCAAAATGACTCAGGTTTCATTCAAAAATTCCTTAATTACAGCTGCGGCCTTGTCAATTCGTTAAAAGCATAATCAGCTATTGTTTTGCAAAAAATGAAAGAGTGTTTTCTTTTATTTAATTTTTTTAAGGTGACATAGTTTTTCCATACACCCACAGTGTTTCTGGGTTATTTTGTCCCAAATTATTATTTAATATTTAAGGGCAACTTTGAACCGGTAAGCATGTCATATATAAAATATTAACTGAATACAAATTGAATACCGTTTTTTTTTCTTTTAATTGACTTATTTCTATCATTGGGTCAAGATGGCCCAAAAACATTATAGGAAGGGGTAAATTCCAAACACTGCAGAAGGGTTAAGAATGTTTCGCGTAAAAGGTAGAAGCTTCTAGATTCCAACCAGTAAAATGATTATTTCCGTTGTTTGGAGGGTGGTACGAGATTTGTTAATTTCCACCGAGCGATGCAGAGCGGGTACAGCGTTAAACCCACTAACAACATCCTCATAACCTTATTGTTTGTATTTAGTCGTGTTGGCTGCCGAATAAACAAGCCAAGCAAATAACAGGCAACGCGACCTCCCGCTGACCGCTAAACAGTTGAGAGAAAAATAAGCCGCCAATTTTTGGTCATAATTAGATTTATGACCGAATTAAATTATGCAAATTCCTTTATGCTTTATTGTGGTCATCATTAAATTCAAACTCACATTAATACATACATACGTACGTATGTACATAAATATACTGCCAATTCAAGTGTTGTTAACCCCAGCAGCCGTGCCATGCACATACAACACAAATATTTTTCCGCCAACAGTTTCGTCCTGGGAAGGAGTAGAATTTCGGAGGAAGCTTTTCGTAGTAAAAGCTTGCAACGAACACAGTCGCAGGCAAATGTT